TTCTTTAAAGTCCTTATTTTTTTGTTTTTAGTGCTTATTTTTTGCTTTTAGTGCTTTTTTTTTAATCCTTTGTTTTTAATGAACACATATTTTTTCCCCCGTACCAAAGCTGAAACTAAATAAACAACTTTTTTTCCTTATATGCAACGTCAGATGGTGAATCATACTCCCGAAAATTGCTTTTCCCCCGTTCCTCTGCATTAATGTAACCTATGGTGCGCGCGAGAGTACAGACAGGTGCACGTCGTTCTATTGGCCAAAGAATTTCGAAAAGGTAGAAAATTCCGGTACATTCGGTATTCTTTTCGTCCCACCCAGATACTATATACGTTTGAATTTCTATCAAGATTTTAATAAATTTGCATTCTCGTTCCGCATAGTCAGTTCATATTCGTGTTTATTATGATCCTTATGCTTATATTATGAGCATATTTATGAATATTTATAATAATATAATTGCAGTAACTGCTGAAGTATAGATAAATTTCCAAAAATGGATGTGTTTTTACACAGATTAGCTTTCTAAGGAATAATGTTCGGAATGGCTTAAATAAAAGGAAAGTAATCGAATAGTCAAAATAATTTCATTTTCTTTGCCAATACATTATACAGTACTTAGGTTGGGAGTTTCCCCCTCAAAATCTCTAATATTGAAGCAGCGGACTTTTTTTTTTGGTGCCAATCTGGATTGAATAGGACTAAAAGTTTTTGCGGTCTACCCTACCCAAGCGAAGATTGATTCTATTCCGGAAATTTAATACAGTCTGTTGAAAATTAGAATCAGAAACACCCCAGATTAGTAAGTCTTTCTTTTCCTTTATTTAGTTTTTCTTTCTCCAAATACCGACAGGTGTTGATTCCAATTGCGTAATGCACGTATTGCGCAATAGCATTTGCGGTATTTTGCATTGATAATTAATTTTGATGTTCAGTCTGAGATTTGTTTATGAACACTTAAAAGAGTTTTACTGTGCTTTCTAAGCAGAATATTTCTCAGTTACGTTGGTTTTTATATGATGCACATATCGAAATGTCAAAATCATTTATTTAGCCTAAATTTAAATCTAAAGAATGGCTACAATCTCCCCCACTCCTCTTTTTCCAGTTACTATCTGGAAAATTCGGGAATTTCCGAGTATGCTGGTTAGTTAAGCTTTTACTGTTAAAGGATGACTGAATGAAGCAATTTCCCCTCTTCTGATTTCAGAAATGTGCCTCATTTTTACTTAAATTACTTTGCTTGGGATATATGTTAAGGGAAAACTGTTATGCAATGAAAATTTAGAAAATGTTCAGAATTTTGATTTTAAGTTAAATTATTTAAATATTAATATGAGTGGAAAATAAATTGTATTTATTATTAGGTGCCAAATGAATACAATTAATATGGCTTATTATTATTTATTTTCTATATTTTCAACTGAAATATCATCATTAAATTTTGTAATATAGTTTAGTTCTGCATAGTTTTTTTTCCCTCTCATTGTAAACTAATTCTGTAAATTGAACTGTCATTTAAAATTAAAAAAAAAAAAAAAAGTTGTTTTCCATTGTTGAGGTAATGCTCATTCTCTTAATAAATATTGCATTGCTCATATTTTAAATTACAAGTCTAATTTTTCTTTTAAGGTTATGCAGTTGTGTATAATGTAATTAGACAGGTGCTTATTTGTTCCTTAAAATGTGCTTGAAAAGTGCTTATAGGTGCTTATGTTTTTAACTAAAATGTGGCTATGAACCCTGCTATCCCTATTGTGTTCTGAAATCAAACTTGTAATGGAGCTGTGCAGATTAGCCATTTTATTCAGTGTCTTAATTAAGTGTTCCATTTCAGCTGACAATATTTTAAAGAAGAAAGTAATAAACTGATTTATTAGTCCAAAGGAAAATGGCTTCTTTCATTTATTTATTTTTTTTTTTAAATATTTAGTTTTCTTTCATTGATTGATTATTACCATAAGTCTTTATAATGCATATTAATCTTGCTGTAGTAATTAAATTAATAATGTATGAAAATATCCCACATATATGAGTGATTGAAATTCTTCAAGTTTAATGTAGTTATGTATTTAATGTAATTTTTTTATTTTAAGAAGTTTTGCAGTTTTTCTATCTCAGAACTCAAAATTAAACTTTATTACATGTGGAAAAGTTTTTTAAAAAAATATTTAAAACTGTGAAAAATGTTACAGTTGTGGTAAGAAATTTAATTTTAAAATTAATTCATTTAAGTAGTAAAACTGATTCATTTATAATAAAATGTTTCTCATACCTTTTCCATGTAGAAAAGACTGTGCACATAATGAAATGTGTCTGGTTACATTCTTATGATTATATGTTTCTGAAAAAACATATAGTTAAATAAAAGATATTGCAACAGGATTTGCTAATTTTTTATTAGCATTAAATTTTTCATTTAATCGCATTACTTACATTAATTAATACAGTAGAAGTCCATTAGTCCGGCATCCAACAGTCCGGAATGCCCGATAGTCCGGCATCGCTCCGGAAAATTGTAAAAATTTTGGTTTTCTCCAAAAGTGTGTCTTTAAAGCAAATAAAACCGCTCGAGAGCTATTCGGAAGTTTTCGGGGTAGTTCGAGATCATCCGGAAGCGCTCGGTATTGTTCGGAAACAATTAGCGGCCGGCTAGTCTCAGCTGTCACAACAAATTCAGGTGCAGTGCAGCTCCGTTAATCAATCACGAAGCGTCTTCGACATTTTTTTGTGCGTTGTTGTTTTGTGTCCTTTCACATCGCAGTAAACGTAACTTTTGAAACTGTTTATAAAAAAAGTGATTTTCGTTCTAACTGTACAGTGACCATGTTTTCAAAACCTAAGCCTTCGAGTTCAAAAGGAGAGAAACGAAAACACGTAACACTGACTCTCAATCAGAAACTAGAAATCAAACGGCTAGAAAATGACTCAGATGCCGAAACGGAAGAAAAGGAAAAAATCAGCTGGGCAGAAGCTGCAGAATCACTAAATAAGTTTATCTCTTTTGCCGAGGCTAGTACTAGCTACAGTGCTTCAGAAATTATTGATTTCCATATCATTAGAAATAAATTTTATACTAAACGCCAAAAGTCAAGAAAACAAAAAGACATTCGTGACTTTTTTAAATCTAAGTGAAATATGTTTTACAGTACGTGTACATACATTATATGAAATGTAAAATAAATTTTGTTGTATGTATTTGTATACTGTATTTTTAGATTAATTATTAACCTAATTGTTCTTATAATTACCGCCCAATAGACCGGAATTTTCGGTAGTCCGGCACCGAGCCGGTCCCGAATGTGCCGGATTATCGGACTTCTACTGTAATTAAATTTAATCTTAACATTTTGAATGCAATTTTAAATATATGAACTTTGACATAGAATTATTGATTTCCCTTATAATATGAAGAGTAATTTATTATTTTATTTGGTCATTTTCAATCTTCATTAAGAATTAACATTGTTATACGTTACTGAATATAACACTAAAAATATTTTTGTTACAAACAAATAAAGAATTTTTATCATCACATTAATTGACAAATATGCATTTTCTGTATTGACAATATGTTTGGTTCAAATCATTTAATAAATAACAAATTCTCTTCCTAATATTATGTTTGTTTTTATGCATTTTTATTTGATTATTTTAAAATTAAAAAACAAAGCTTGAATTTATATATTTCTAGAAAAATTTTCTCACCTAACAGCTGGATATTTGATTGTTGAGTACTGGCCAGCATAAGCAATAGACTGCTACATCCAAAAAAGGAGGTATATAATTATAAAGATGCTTGCCTTCTCCAAGATTTGAACTCAGGTGTAACAATATTACAGCTTTCACCACTAGCCACCATACCAAACACTGTACCGCTTTCAGAAATGTCTAGCAAATTTATCATGGTATGAGCTGTTATATAATTTATGTTTTCTTAATGTTGGTTGCACAAATCTATTTTGAAACCTGACAGCTTCAGTTGTGTTAATATGAATGGCAAGAGATCCAGCAACACAATTGTTGGTGTTATGATTGTTCAGTGCTGTGTATGATAAATACAACTGAATGATGCATTTGAAATTTGGAGGCATAAAAGATTTTAAAATCTTTGAGTCAGATTATGTGTGTATAATTTGAATGTGAATAATGAGCTTACTGATCCATTAGTTCATCCTGGTGAATCACAGTTTGAGACAGCTCTTCTTATCCATAAGACAAAAGCATTGTGGGAAAAAATTTTAATCTTACTTCACATACTTTACCGCAGTAAGTATTGTATAATGCAGTGCATCTGATCTGACAATTTTATGGCACTTGTCATCTGACTACATTTAAAGCTCTCCAGCCCTACTGTAGCTAGATGTTGGTAAATTTTAGGATCACTTACTGAGTATGAGCTAATTATAGTAGTTGAATATTCATGAAGTGCATATTGAGTTGTTCATGAAAATACAAATCAAGAAGCAGCAACATTGATATTGTTTGTGATGTCATTGCTTTTTTAAACTTAAGATTTGTAAATATATTGCAAGTACATTCTTTGTTACAGTAGGGAATAATGTTGAATAATATTGCATTTTCACAGAATCCACAAGTGAAGCATACTAGTATCATTATATGTATATAAATTATATTAACAAAAGCATAACTATCTAGATACGCAGCTGCCAGTGCGACATATCATTATCATGCAGAATCTGAAGCTGGAATGGATGGTTTATGCAATGTATGACTTATGTGCATCTTTGGCAGGGCAATAAACATATAAAAATTTGATATTTTTAAATTCCAATGTACATAGCCATGAAAAAATACCATATGTTTACATAAAACTGATTTCTAATGTTTTTTGTTCCCCTTACTTTTATGTCACTTCAGTAATTTTATACCTTTGTTTCTATGATGTACTTTTTTGTTTTAATAAGTCCAACATTTTCAGTTAATTTTTATTTCTAGAGTACTGTGGACAATAACAAAATGTAATTTTTTCCCATTTTCAGCAGATGTTAACAACTGGAATCCGATAGAATGGGATCATGCGGCAGAAGAATTAACCTGGGAAAGGGTTAGTTTATAATTTGTTATATTTTTTTATAACTTATTCATTATTCCTGCCATAATGCATTGTGCTTAAAATAGTTTTTAAATAAAACTATATAATAAAAACACTTATTTTGCTGTCTCTTTTCTTTTCTACTAATTTTATCGCTTGAAAATCGAGGAATTATGCAACTATTAGATTTGGGGGAAAGAGGACTTTTTTTATGTTCATTTTGAAGTTTTATTTAATATGGTTACAATCATTCGCTTTGACTTAAATTTGTCCGCATTTTTTCCATGACTCATTGTCATTTAAAAAGTAACTTCATTATTCCACTTTTACAAAGTGACTTGTTCCTAGTAGCAAAAAACTGAGGTAGCCAGGGTTTACAAGCCTCTGTTGAGGCCAATTTAATGCCTTAAATAGCATTTTTCATAGACAAAAAAAGATGAGAATTGCTTGGTCCTGGGTCTGGACTATAAGGTGGACATATAGCAACCTCCCAGCCAAGCTCCCTGAGCTTCTGTCAGGTCATCATGGATGTATGAGGCCTGGCATTGTCCTAGTGGAACATGGTGCCTCTCCTAGTGGCTGATTCTTGCCTCATCTGATCGATTGCTGCTTTCAGTTGGTCCAATTGCTGTCAATAGAGGTGCGAATTGAGTATTTGGCCATTGGGCAGCTCATAGCAAGTGATTCCCTTGCAGTCCCACCAGACACACAGCAAGACTTTCTGGGCCATCAGTCCTTGTTTGGCCACCATTTGCACTGCTTCACAGGCCTTCAACCATGAACTTCGTCGCTTGACATTTTCATTTGTGACCCATTTCTTGTCACCAGTCACCAACCTCTTCAGAAATGGCTCGATTGAATTCCATTTGGCCAAGGATTCACAGTGGAAAAACGGTTAATTACATTTTCTTCTGTCAACTTGTATGGTACTCAAACATCAAGCTTCTTTTTGAACGGAGCTTTATGCAAATGATTTAAAATGGTTTTGTGGTCAGTTTCCTGGGTGATGCTATGGCAGATCTCATGCTGGTCTACTTCAACCATTTCCAAAATTTTTATCGACATTTTCGATGATGAGCCTTCTTGTGCATGGTGCATCTTTCACATCAAAATTACTAGAATGGAGTTGATGAATTTAAAATTGCGCTTGATTGGCTGTTACAGTATGAGGACCATAAATTGTGTTTACAATTTCAGCTGCCTAAATTGCGTTTTCACCTTTATCGAAGTAAAATTGTAAAACATATTAATTTTTTCCTTTTTTCACTTCTATCTTTAATACTCTAACTCACACCAAATCTATCAATCACAACAATGGCAAACAATGCTTGTTTTGTAGGGAAATCCCCCTCTTCAATGAGTATAGGTTTGACACGATAAGATAAATACAAAACAAAATATATGCCATTAATTTCATCTAGCTATGTAATGAATTACTTTTTCCCCAATCTGATATTTCTAGAGTTAAAAGAAAAGTTAATTAAGTCAAATTAAACTTAAATTTAAGAGTAAATGTAATTAGCTATATTATTACAGACTTCCCACCCATGTGGAAATTCAATGAAATGACAAATATTGAGGGAAAATTGGAACTTTCCCAAATGTTGGTGGTTAAAAGAAGAGTGAATATTAAATTTACTCACATATCTTTTCCCTTTTCTTACACTAATTTTATTTCACGAAAATCAAGCGGGAAAATTATGCAAATAATTTCTTTTTTGAAGGATGTGGTTATTGTAAGAACATAATAAATTAACAACATTCCTGGATAAATAACCGATAATAATCACAATATTATTTATTTAAAAAAAACCTTGTATTCCAGTAAGAATATGCAGTAATATTAACAGTACAGCTTTTAATAAGGTATTTTCATTTCTTAATTTTCATGTCCTGAATCTTGCCCACATTGCTGTCTGCAGCTACTCCAGAGGCATCAGATCATTCATTGTTGCTGGAAGTGCTGTCTGCTGTGGCTTCCAAGTTGTCGTCATATTTACCATCTTCTTCACCATTCTGTCTTTCCACATGCAATGAATGATCTTCAGAACTACCAAAAGCATCTGCTTTTGTGAAACTCTTCACTATTACTTCATCATTCGTAGTCTATGCATCTCAAAATCAATGAACAAATGAATTAATAAAACAAAAACAATCACCACATAAACGAAACCATTTTAAAATTTAGGTGAGCTTATGTTTGAATTCCTTAAGGAAGTTAAAATTTCCTGACTATTTAAAAAATTATTGCTTTAAAAAATTAAGGGTATACGTGAGTAAATATGGTATAAATCTTTTTAAATATAGGTATGTTTTAAAAGTGCATAAACTACTCTTAAGGAAAGGATCAGATTCTGAGATATGCAATCTTCTTCTCATAAATACAGGGTTTGTATGGTCCTTTTGGCAGGAGGTCCATAATTTTAATTGTCTGAAATTTCTGTCTGGTTTTACGACTGAATTAGTATTTACGACCGAATTAGCATTTTAGACAAATGTTTTTGGCGATTCATTATCTTTTGAATGGGTGAATAGGTTCATGGATTATAATTTGTTCCTATTTCTAATATAAACGGTGAGATCTCAAGTTTCTGAGCAAGAAATGAAACATAAGCATTTTGAAATTATTTCATTTTTTCTAATAAAGACCTCTTAAACAACTTTTCACTTTTCAAAATGTGAATTCTTTATTAAACGGTCTTAAATTTGGCAATTTTAAAATCAGTTTCTATAGAAAATTTTTAATTCGGGAATCTGGGAATTTTCCGACGATATTTTTTTGACTACTTAACAGTTTCATTTATTTTCCAAAATAGTTCAAAACTGTCATTTTTTATTATGGTTAATTATGTATTTTGTATTTATAAAACAGTAATAACAAGTAAAATTGTTGTAAGCATGAAAATTAATTAATTAGAGCATTTTAAATTTTCACTGGTATTTCTCAAATTATTGCTTTTTTTTAGAGTACTAATGATGTGAAAAAAGGTTCACTTTACAAGTATAAGTAAAAAATGGAAAATAATTAAAAACATTTTTGAACTTACCAATGCATATTTTCTTTATTGTAATGTTTCATTTTTCTTTAATTATTATTACAAATCAGATTTGGTATGATAGAATTTGAAACAAGGTGTCAAGCACAGTCCAACATCACAGTCCAGGCAATAATACCATGTTTCTTTTCTAATTCTCTTTCCATTGTCATTTTTCTTCAATGAACAAGCATAGGTGTTTCCTTGCGGGTCCCAGGGTCTTTTCTGTTGGTGAAATTATTCCTAAAAAATGTCTTTCGGTCAATCTTGTTGAATTGGTTTGAAGTGCAGAACGACCTTTTTTTGCAGATACTGCTCCATATCTTTCTATCAGGCAGTCAACGATGCCCCATCTAAATTGCAGTTGTGAGTCTTTTTCCCCATTTTTTTTATACAATACAAAATTATTCCATAAACAAATGTCTAAAAGATGAAAGAATATTTTCTTTGTATAATTGTTTCCTCGTTTCTTTATCAAGGGGTAATTTGTAAGATGTTGGTCTACTCTATCTACACCACCCATAGTGTTCTTCTACTCCATAACAACTTTAGGTTTTTTCACCTTACCTTGTTTTTGTGCATCAGTATTTGAACCATTTCAGGATTATGTATTGTTGAGATAAAGAACACTGCCTTTTTGTCCATCCATTTCATGATGCAGACTTTCTTTACCTTTGTGGTAAATAAGAATTTGACCTTTATCAATTTTTGTAGATTTAAGTTCTTTAGGGATATCCTTTCTTCTAAGTGTTAGTGTTCCGTACATATCAGTAGAATTGTGAATGAGAATATCTACTAGTGCCAAAGATGAATAAAAATTATCTGTAGTGACACTCCTTTATTTAGAAGTAGTTCTATGGTAGTCATCACAACTTGTTAGGACATATACATATCTTTGTACTTTTCATCAAATAGAGTTCTTTTTCCAGTGTATATGATCAATGACCACACATGTTCTGATTTGCATTCACACAGCATATAGGTCTTTATTTCGAATTGTAAGCGTTTCAGAGGCATGTATTGTTTCCAACCGAGTCTTCCTTTGACTCTCATCATCAGTAACATCTGTGTCAGGTGTAAATACTTCCTTGAAATGACTGGTTAGATATTTTAGTACTGGCCAAATTTTTGATAATTTTTTTTTGCACTCGTGTGTTTCAACAGCAAATGTTTCCTTATTGAAAAAATGCGAGAAATTGTTAATTAGATTGAAATGTCGGTAAGACATAACTTTGGAGAAAAATGGAGTCGACGTGGAGTGTCTTTTGCTCCAATAATTGTTCAACTGTTGGTTTTTTGATGATGCCTCGAAGAATAATCAGAGCGATAAAAACTTGCATTTCTGCTTTTGATGTTTCCTTATTTTAAATTATGACAATCTGGCTTATCTTTGCATGATATTTATACTTTGGTATAATTGAAAAGTAATTCTTTTTTAGCTGCTTTAATAAGGGGCATTTTTGAGATATTTTTTAATAAGCACATTGTCTTGTGTATATGGACAATTTATTCTAATTCATGTATTTTGTATTACTCTTATTTTTAGACATGCAAAATTGATATTATTTTTTCGTAATTACAGTTACTCGGATTGGATGGATCTTTGGTTTTTCTGGTAAGATGAACTTTTATATTAAAAATAAAGATATATAAAAAGATGGAGATTGTGATATTTTAAAGTTTTTGATGTATTTATTTAGAACATATAAAATTGTGTGCGTTATTTATGTATTTGTTTTAATTTCAGGAACATGTATTTTGGGTTGTTTCTTTAAATACTCTCTTCATTGTTGTTTTTGGTAAGTATTTAGTATCTCAAAGTTATATGAATTGTGAATGTATAGTTTGATAATATATTTAACTAAAAATGTATTTTTTCAGCTTTCTGTCCTTACCATATTGGTCAATTTGCTTTGTCATGCTTTGGATTTAAAGACTATGTAAGTATATGGATTGATGTTTGTTTCTGTATATATATAAATAAATATAAACTTTATTTAGTTAAATTTTTATCTTTTATTGGTTGATCTTTACAATATGGTAACTGGTAGTTTGGCGACATTTTGGAGGCGATAAAGGTTACTACCTGGGACTTTGGTAATAATGTGAGCAGTACTCAGTTCCGATTACGCATTATTTTGCGTGAGGGAATTGAGAGATCATGGGATATGTCATGTGATATTAATGGACGAATTACGGTTCTTTAATCGGAAAAGGCGGGAAATCGGGAAAAAATGTGGAAATTTTGTATTTAGCTTTATTCTGTGTTGTGTGAAACAGTTGTTTTTAATTTTTGGATCCCATGGCCCTAACTAAAGTGAATTCGAAATGGGTATTTAGGCATTGTGATAAAGAGAAGTTTGCTTTTTATTTAGCGGAGGAAGTATGGAGGAAAAATTCGCAGAAAAAATCTTTCAATAATTTTATTTGAATGAATTAGAAAAGTGTATCCGCCACGTAATCAAGATTCTGAAGAAGATTAGGTAAGTTAGTATTTTTAATTATTTGAGGATATTATTTTTATGCATTGTTCTAAATGTAAGGTGGAAAGGAATTTGGTATTATTTGGAAAATTGTTATTAGCAATGATTTAGTTTAAAGTAATTAGGATTGTAAGGTAATTTTTATTAATTTAATGTATGTGCTCATTTATATTTTAAGTAGTGTTTTTGAATTTAATTATATTTTAATGAAATGATAGTTATTTTGTGAATTTTATGTTTGTAGGAATTTGGTATACGTTTTAGTTGAAGTAAACGTGCATGGAAATAATTTAAATATCTGACACTAAGTATTTGTAATGGTTGCGGTATGAATTCGTTGGTGACGTTTATAATACAATAGATGATTTAGAGGTAAAAGTTTTTGGATATTTTATTTATTTTATATGTGGAAATGTTCATATTTGGAAAGGGTAGATACTTTTTCGCGATCAGGTAATTTCATATATGTTCTTTTTACAGGGTTTAAAGATTGAGAAAATTGTCATGTATTTTCGTGAAATTTTTCTAATTTATAAGAAAAAGCAGTGTACATGTACATGGATATAGTGAAGAGTGTGCACAATGCCATTTTGTGTGCAATTCTGGGATGTTTTTTTAAGTAAAATAAGTCGATGTGTACATGGTTTAGTGATATTTTAATTAAATGATAGTTATTTTGTGAATTTTATGTTTGTAGGAATTTGGTATACGTTTAAGTTGAAAATAAACGTGCATGGAAATAATTTAAATATTTGATACTAAGTATTTGTAATGCTTGCGGTATGAATTTGTTGGTGACGTGTATAATGTAATAGATGATTTAGAGGTAAAAGTTTTTGGATATTTTATTTATTTATATGTGGAAATGTTCATATTTATAAGGGTAAATACTTTTTCGCGATCTGGTAATTTCATATATGTTCTTTTTACCGGGTTTAAAGATTGAGAAAATTGTCATGTATTTTCGTGAAATTTTTCTAATTTATGAGAAAAAAAAGCAGCAGTGTACATGGATATAGTGAAGAGTGTGCGCAATGCCATTTTTGTGCAATTCTGGGATGTTTTTTAAGTAAAAATAAGTCGAGCGTGTACATGGTTTATGTGTATGTGTTATTTGAAAAACAGCGTAAGGAGTATGGTATTGTGCACTTTTTCCCAATTTTGCAGTGAATATTTGTCATGATTAAGCAGTTTTGTTTGATAAAACTTCTAGCATAAGTGTAATTCGGCTAGTAGATTGTTGGAAGAAAGTGTTCAGTAGATAAAAAGAAGAACATGTCTTTACTTCGTGAAGACAAAATGGGCGGCGGGGGAAAAAAAATAGAGGGTTGCTGTAGGAGAGTTGGTTGCCAAATTTTCGCCAAAAAATCGCCAAGTTACCATAATGTAAAGATCAACCCTTTTATTTTAACAGTTGTTACTTTTGATTGTATAGTTTTTAGGAGTTCTGCTTTTCATTAGGTTCGAAATTTAATTAATAATTTTTTTAGTAAATTAATTTTAATATTTATTTTGCACATTGCTCGATTTACCAAATGGTGATTCTTTTTATTTTTTTAGCACATTGCTTTGAATTTACCCATATTTATTCAGGTTTCTCATTTACATTTAATTAATAATTTTAGCATTTAGCTTTTGATTTTGCAATGGTTTTTCTTGTTTCTGACTCGAGAATTTATTTTTATCCTTTTAAAATGTTTATAATTTTTATTTTGGGGTCACATCAGAATAGGTTACATCTTGATGATTAATTACACTTTTAAAACAAATTTAATTTACTTTCTTACATTTTTAAAATGCTTTAATTACCTTAATTGGCATTTTCTTTTAATTTTTAAAAAATTTTCTAGTATTAACAATCATCTAGATATAATTCAGAAATATGGTTCTTTTGAAAATCTTCAAGTTTCTCCTTGAAAAGACCAAGGAATTTTCAACAATTTTTTTTGTTTAAATTTTGAAATGTTTATGTTTGTTTTAATTTTGATATGTGCATTTCCTATTAGAGGGTTATCTAACTTTCATAATTTAATTTTAATTTATTATCCCCCTTGATTGATTAATTTTGCAGCATACTTCTGTCCTTCCTCAATGGTCTGGTTTGGTTTATTTAATTACGGCAAAGCCTCAAGAGCCATCTCCATAAGGGGGGATGCCTTTGTGGAGGATTTTCTAAAGGAAACTTGCTCATATACATGTTACACATGGGGGAAACCATGAAAATGCACATGCAGTCAGTCCGTTCGTGGGATTTGAACCTCAGATTGAACTACTAGTGTTCAGTGACTTACTGCTTGGCCGCTGGTGGGAACTTTCCTCAATAGCTCAAGAACCCAGGGTAGGCTTTGGCCTTTTCAAGAAGCTTTTTCCAGGCTAATATTTTCCAACTTTTGGTTTTTAAGACACGTAGTCAATTTCTAGGCAGTCTAACCATCTTAGATTTGGTCTGCCTTTTTTTCTCTGTGCCTGTTGGTCTGGTGTTGAAGACATTTTTTTGTTGCACGGTCTACATCCATTCTGATAAAGTGGCCTGCCCATTTTATTCTTTAGCATTTAATGAAATTAATGATGTTAGGTTCATTATATGAGCGATATAGCTCCAAATTTGATCTTCTAAGCTGCACAGCAACTTTCTGTATTCCTCCAAAAATCTTATGGCCTCATTCATGTGCATCATGGTTCAGGTTTCACATACATATGTCAAAATTGGTCTTAAAGGCTTTTATACAGTAAAATTTTTGCATGATTTCATATATTTTCATATTTCATTGAAGCATCTATTGGCTGTAGTGATTCTTGTTTGTATTTCTGTACTAATATTGTTCCTGCTATTAATTTTTGCAGCATACTGGGTGACTTTAATAGTATATATCATTTTAATTTGAAATTTCTCAACTTTAGTTTGACTGATATATGGCCTTTTTAAATGAAATCAGTTTCTTTTATTTAGATATTTGTATGCGGTGATATTTTTAAATATTTTTATGCTGATTATAATTATTAAATATTCTTATTTTATTTTTTGTTTTTCTTTATGGTAAAGATGGGGCATGCTTAAGAGATTGTAGCAAATGTTTTAATACAATTATGGTAAAAGTAATCTTCATTTTGGAATATATCTTATGCAAAACAGTTTCTTTTGGGGGGCGGTTAACTGATATCTCATGTTTACAAGAAGTATCTTTTTTTAAGTATTTTTTTAATTCATTATAATTACATTTCTTCTTAAAAATATTGTGATATAATCAAAGCATTAGAGTAATGCAGCTGAACAGGTTTTGGACAATTATTTTATAGACAGTTTTCTAATGCTAAAAAAGTACGTAATTGGAGATTGTTTTAAAAAATGGATGAAAGAAGACTGTGATAGAGTTATATTTGTTTCAATACAAATGTGATTATTTTGGTATAACTTGAAAATCCTGTTCAAGTAAACCTTTGTATCTTCTAAAAATCTCATTCTTTGAATGATAATTTCTATGGCAGAGTACAGCAAGTCAGAGTTAATACACCTTATGCTCTATATTTTTTCTAAAATATGTCATTTAATATGTCAGACATTATAGATGTCTGTACAACCAAAAATTTTGTTGATGAAGTTATAGAGTATATATGCTCTTTTTGGAAGCATATGATGTAGACCCTATGTAGAAGACGAAGTAGCAAATACTTGCTATGTCTTTGAAGAATAATTACTGCAGAAGTAACTTTAAATAACCTTTTTATTTGAACTAAAATCAACAAATACACACTCTCGGTGCTGACAATTTACCGTCACTTGTGGCTAAGTTAAATTTAACAGAAAATAAAAACGTAACGAATCACAATAAATTTAAATGGCTAATGACTGGCTCCTTAGCTTAACTAAACCTCTAAATCGGTTGCACGCTGCAAAGCCCAGCCTGGAATCTCAGTAGAAACTGAAAGGTGTCTAACACTGACTAGAGAGCTAATTTCAGATGCCTAGCATAAACTCGGAACTAACTCAGCTACTATTCCTTTTGAATGCTTGAAATACACTTTAAATACTGCTTCTGAAACATGTTTAGATTTGCATGCTGCATCATTGAATATTTACATCCGGGCAGGAAACTGAAATCAGGAGGGAAAGAAAAGTAAAACTAAAAATAATTAGTTAGAATAAAATAAAGTCTTTACAAAGTCTAAGCAGTTGAGATGACAGTATTGTTAAAAATACGATTTAATGACTTTGTTCTTTCTATCAATTTTTACTTCCTTGTATGAAGCAGATATTTTTATGTAGAACTTTTCTGTAGTTGAAGGATTGTCTAAATTTTGCCCAAACACTGCTAAAACCTTGTGCATTCATCATACCATGTCTCACAGCAGCAGTTGCACTTTTGGATTATAGAAGAATGGTTGATTTGTGCTTCAACTTTTGGCTGAAAATGTCATATTTTCAAAGATGTAGTCTAATCAGAAACTTTTTCCTTGGGTCTCTTCAACAATAGCACTAAAAAGGGAGATTATAAGTTATACATGCTTCAGCAACAATATACTCTCTTGGTGTAGAATTATAAACCTATTCCCTCTCTTCGTGAATCATAGCCTTGTGCTGCAAAGCATACTGAACATCTAATTTGTATTTTGAACAATACAAAAATGGAGCATTGTGATTTTTTTTTTCATTCAGAAAAGACATTTCATATTCATTGAAAAACTAATATTTTGAGCAGTGGCATAATTGACATTTGCCACAGTTTTTAATCGACATGCTCACCATTATGTTATAACAATCCAAAATATGCTGTATCATCTGTCATAAAATCATGTCCATTTTAAAAATCTAGTTTGGTGGTGAATGGGCTTGTATATCACTGATACTTAGTGTAATATCCCTTTCCCTTATGGGATATGTTAAGGGCAAAATCATGATCCATTTTCCCAGAAAATCTGGAGCTGAAGAATCAGTCATACTTGCAAATCCTGTGAAAATGATTGATTGTAAAATATAAATTTCTGTGAGGCAAGAAATATAATTTTTGTTATGTGACATTTCAGCAGTTGTGTGCTTGTAGATTCAACTTTTGTGAAATAAATTCGAAAACATTTTTGAAATAATTCTTCAAGTTTTTATCAATGTGTGTGGTAGTTTTTATTCCACACTTTTTTAAATACTTCATCATTTTGACCCATCTTGTATTAGCACATTTTACAATTTTATCTCAAAATAAAAAGTTGTAATTATTTATATTTAAAAATCTTCAATGTGTCATTGATTCTAATCATGACTAAGATTTTGATAATCAGTTTAATTTTACGTATTTACTAATTTTTTTATTATTCTTTCAAACCTAGTTAAAGGAATTCTTTGAATATTTTATAAAATTAATATTTAATGTTTTCTGCCATTATATTTCGAACAAATTTTTAATTCTATTTTAAAGCTCATTTAAATATTATGATAGCCTTAATATTTTTCTTAGTGCTAACTTATGATAGTAAAAATATTAAGGCAATATTATAAATTTATGTACTGTTCCATTATCGGGACCGGATTCAGATATCACCAAAAAGCTGGCGATTTAGCGAAAAATTGGAAACTTAAAAATAATTGTCAAAATATTTTTGATACCATTAAGTGCAAGAAAAATCCAAGAGGAAAAAAATAACAGGTACTCCCAAAATTACAAATTTTCTAAACAACTTGGAGGGGGGGGAACCTCTCCAAGTTGTTTAATCCCTGTTAGGGAATCAACACGGAGGCAAGAAACTGCAGATATCATTTAAAATCTCTGAAGACATTAGTTTGTGGATGGTGTTTAAGCCGCATTCGCCATCACATAAAAACAATTAAATAAGAATCTTATTGGTTTAGGTCAATGCCACGTTGATGCTTGTTTTGCCATTTCTCCCTGCCTCGTAAGCTTTCAATAGTTTGTGTGTAACAACCGGTATCGGGATCAATAAAATTATATCTATTGCTAATGCAGAAATGCTCAAATCTGACCTTTCAGTTCTTCAGTATTGTACCCTTTCCAGTGTAGTCTGTGTATATTGTAGTATCATCAATAATATTTCCTTCAATAACTTTAAGCAAAATTCTTGCAAAGCGGTTAGGTGCAGCAATTAAAAAACATTCTTCTGTTTCTTGGCTTAATTCTAAACACTAAACACGATGCATAACATGAACACCAATTTTGAGAATGAAATCCTCTTTTTTTCGGCACGTCATATCATCGCAGGTTTTTTGTGCACTTGCTTTCAGAGTGAATTATTCCTCGTTCCTGAAGAAATTTTATGGCAGATGTTTCATCATTAGTTAAGTCCCAAATTTTTATATCCATAGATAAAAACAGAAGTAACCATTACATCTTTAGAACTTGTAATCTCATTAAGAAATTTGAAAATTCATAATTTTACTTTTTAATTTGAGATCGACTTTAAAACTAAATTTTGGCGACTTCATATGAACCAATCTCTTAGCAAGTTTAGCAAAACATTTGGCGATGATTCCGGTCCCAGTAAATAGAACAGTACCTAAATTTGAATTATTTGATTCCTTTTCATCCATATATCCTATTATTTTTAGTTATACATTTTCATTGTTTCTTACTTCCTAAATAGAAAAAATTGTCTTTGCAGCTTCGAGCACCAGAATTTGAAGGTTTATTAACAACGCTTTTCGGTTATATTAACATTGGGATTGCTTTGGCATTGCTTCATGGAATAGCTGCATTAGTTCGACTGCACCGAACGAGGCGTCTTCTCGGCATCTGTTACGTTGTCATTAAAGTCTCTCTTTTGTCTGTTATAGAAATCGGCATTTTCCCATTAGTTTGTGGATGGTGGTTAGATATCTGCTCATTAGTAAGTTGTTCCTTTACATGTTTTGTATCATAATAATTATTACATTTTTATTAAATTGTTTGTTAAATATATCTGTTTAATATTAGTTCTTACCTGTTGTGACTTGTTTAATGATGAGTTTGACATCAGTACATGTGGTATATTAAAAAACACTAATCTGTATATAAATGTCAAGTTGCTTTTGCAAAATAAATGTATGTAATTTTTTACTTTTCGTCTGGTGGGAAAAAATGTGTGAAGTTATAGCGAGTTGAATTTTAGTAATTAAAATCCTGGTGAATTAACTAAAAATCCACAGTCTGTTTTACTTCAGTTTATATATTTTTTTCATTAAATTGTTTTATAGCAAAAAGAATTATCTATTAGAAACATTTATATTGCAATTCAACCTCATTGCTAATATTTAGTTTGTACATGATTGTTTATGTTTTATCAATAAAAGATGTCCTGAAATATTGAATATACAGTTTTGCAAGAAAATGGAAGAACCGTGATGCAAGTGGTTGTTTGTGATAAAATTGAATATGTGTATACTGAATATTTGTGTATTGAATACAACAATAATAAAATGATTAAAAAATCATGGTCAATAGTGCCTGTTTATGGCTCACAATCACCCATTGAGTGTTCAAATTAGTAGTTGGTCGAACCACCCCTGGCAGCAATGCATGCTTGAATTCGTCGAGGTAAGGAGTGGTAGAGGTTACTTAATGTCATGCTGCGACACATTCTGTTAGGCATCGATTAGTTGTCGCTCCAGATATCTGCGATATTTTGTGGTGTCTGAATCTGGCGACCTATCATGTCGCAGACAGGCTCGATTGGTTAAAGGTCTGGTGACCTTGCTGGCCAAGGAAGAGTATCAACTGTATGGAGACAGTCCGGAGATATGCGAGCGGTATGTGGCCTGGCATTATCTTGTCTGGAAAATGGCACCATGATGACGTGGCCATTAAAGGGTAATTGCAACCACCCGCTGGATGGTATTAACATATTGTTGACCTGTTAAACATGTATGGAGGTTGACTAAAGATGACCTGCTGTCATAAGAAATAATGCCCCACACCATCATACCAGGGGTTATGGCTGTATGCCTTTATAAAACAAAAGCTGATGGGACTGCTGGCCCCGTCCTCTCCAGACACAAACAAGGTGGTCATTTGCTTCAAGAGTGAAGCGGGATTCATCGCTGAACACTGTACAATGCCATGATGATCGGCTGTGACATCACTCCAGACAATTCCGCTGATAACCCTCTCAGTGTTACGAACGGATTTTTCCGTATTGAAAGATTGCTTTCCAAATCATCTCACACGGATTATTTTGCTAGCTTTTGATGAATCCGAAAGCATTTCAAACAATTTTTTCTGCCTTACGTTTTCCGTCTCGAAAGCATTGATGATGCTTTCCGTCTCGAAAGCGTTGATGAATATTCTGTACTGTCGTTCCCTTCGACCTCCTGTCGCACTTAATTGGTAGTGGGGAAACAGCGATCGTTAGAGAAAGATGTTACAATGGGATGGTCGTAAATAAAAACATCAAATCCAGCCATACCATCTGCCAACCTGAGGGCAATTTTAATGCCGAAACTGGAAAATACTGGCTAAACCTTTATGTATGTGAAAAATTTGCGAAGCAAAAGTTCTTCTGCAAAAGTAAATGTAATTTGCACGGAACCCATGAGTAATTTTTAAAGAATTCGGCATCACCTAATTTACAAATAATTTCTTTTAGCATAGAATAAATAATTAAACAGGTATCTAACAATGACTGTAGAAACAGAGAAATTTGATATAATTTTTGTTTTAGCTGTGCGCATTGATTAAAATACTGTATTTTTTTAAAATTATTATAACAGTTCACAAAAAGAGTTACTTCAATATATATTTTGAATAATTGTTCTGAAATAAAAAAAATGAGATTTTTGAAAGAGTTCAAATCTTGTAATTCCGTTTCAAACTAATGTGTCATTTATATGTTTGTATCGAAATTCATTTAGTTGTGTGAATGTGAAGTATGGACATTTATTATTGAAATATGAGGACAAGGTGCGTTTCCTTAAAGAAAAATTCGTTTTACTCTTCTGATTTCTCCTTTAAAATGAACTACTGAGAAACTTCCTTGAAATGATAGGAAAATCATTCGCAAATAATATCGTATTTAATTAGGTGGCTTTTTGGTGTTGATAAAATAAAGTAGTGAAAGTACATGAAATCATATGATTCATTTTTTACCCTAAGCAAATTACTTCGGTTTTACTGAAAGTGTTATCGAATAAAAGGGTTCGGACGATATTTTACTATGAATATTTTACTGTTATGAAGATGTGTATATTTCCAAATTTCGAAACGGTTGGGACATTAAATTCTCAGCAGGTAAGAGTAAATAATTATGAAAAATAGTTGTTAGTAGAAAAGACATGTAAATAGCTTTTTATAAAATCATCACAAGCATTATACGAAGGGGGAAAAAATAAGGTGATCTGGGTGATGCAAAAAATTTCGAAAAAGGAAGTAGGTGATAGACAACTGTAACTTTCATGCAGGACTTTGGGGGATGGGAAAACAATTTGTTGTTTACGACTACGGTTAATTAAAACAAAGGAGGGCTGTCTCTGTATGGGAAGGGATGCCTTCTTGGAATACTTTTAAAAGAAAACTGGCTCGTATTCATGTTACAAGTGGGGAAAACTCAATTTCAGATCAAACTACTAAGTGTTCAGTGACGTTACTGCTCGGCCGCTATTATGCTATATTGGACGTTATTTATGACTAAGGACTGATGAGCTATGTTAAATTAGGTACTGATTACCTTTGTTTTTAAATTCATTAGTTAATACTTATGATTCGGGTTTTACTAAAAAGGCCAATTTTATGCATGTATTTCTTGAAATCAGTTTTCACATCTTATTAACATTTTATGTGCAGTTTTTATGGCATCCTTCCTTCACGTCCACTCAAATAATTTCACAGCCTAAAAACAAAATAGAATTATTTAAAATTTAATATCTATGCTTCGTTTGAAATATTTCTCTTTGGTTTGGTTTACTTGAAAAGCTCTCGAAGGCTATCTGCCAAAGGAGGGAGGCCTTCATGGAAAGAACTGTCTAAGAGAAAATGGCTTCTATACATGTTACACAAATGGAAAAATCACGAAAACGTCCATGCAAGCCAGCCCGGTTCGCTGGGATTCGAACCGAACTACCCGTGTTCAGCAATTTTACTGCTTGGCCGTTGGTGGGCGTATCACTTTTTGAGATAATTATCATAATATTATATGTTTTAATAGGCATCAATAACAATCAATGCTTACTATTGTGATTTACATTTCCAGTGATGTTAATCTCGTAATTAATACTCTTGGCTCTGTGCCTAAGAGCAGTAAAGCTTCAACTGAGGACTTTTTAAGCGGAACTGGCTCATATTTCCGTAATTAATACAAATGTGGTAATATTATTCTTGTCACTGTCAATGATACCAATCGTACGATTTGGTATTCACTTTCGGAGCAAAAATACATTGAGAAAGAAATCAATTTGGGGACAAATAAAAAGAATTGATGAAATAAGTATTATAAAAAAGCAAAATTCTTTTATATCTGGGTCATTTGTTACCATTTACTTTGTGTTTTAATATCTTTTATTTCAGTATTGCTTTATTAATTCTTAAATATTTGTAAAATGCAAAAAATTTGTGAAATTCATATTTTCTTTCAATTCTAAATATAATTTTCTTTCCCAGTTCTAAAAATGTATTCTTGATATTATAGAATAACAAAAAGATACAGTATTCACTAAATCAATGTGCAATTATCGTTAATTTAAGTGCATTTTGGTAGTAGATTCCTGATAATTGTAATGTACACATGCTTCAAAAAGATTCAAAAAGATTGCACGACTAAACAATTTTTTCACCGTTCTGGGCAGAACCATGGTTCCAATTTCAAATAAATAAATAAATAAATAAAAATAAAATAGGCTTCAGCACAACGAGTTTTCAGTTTTTTGACTCATTTTATTACAAATGTATGAAGCAAATTTCTTTTCGTTCTGCAAAAGAAATAAATATGTCAATGAATAATATGTTTTTCAGTGTGCTATTAGAATAAGAAATCCATACTCGTCTGATGCAAATTAACTGATATATATTTTTAATCAAAATTTTTCAGGAGAGATTTCAAATATTATTTTCAAGCACAAACTACACAGAAGTTGCGTTTTTAAACACAGTTTTCGATCGTTTCAGTATCTTTTATAAGTACTAGGAACCGTCTTATTTCTCTAAATTTTCTTTAGCAAGATAAGGGGGCTGGCTGCATGGGCGTTTTCGTGGTTTTTCCCATGTGTAACGTGTATACGAGCCAGTTTCCCTTAGAAAGTCCTCCACGAAGGCATCCCTCCCCTTAGGCAGATAGCCCTCGAGGCTTTGCCATAATCACACACACATTAGCAAGGTAAGGAACAACATATTCAACGGCACTTTTTTCGCACAATCGCTTTGCAGACACTTAAATTTCACAAGTCTTTCATGCATTCGTAGACAAACTAGTCCATAACTGAAAGCCTAATTTTATTCAGTTAATTTCTTACATTAAAATCATAACCGCTTGTACTCTTTTTAAGATATTCCCGGATAAATAAGCATTATTCTAAAATAGAAATGATAAAATCATTTGAGATATATTTTTTCCTTCTCAAAACAAACTATTTTGCCAAAATATAATCGAAAATAATTTTAGAGCTATGAAATAAATTCAAGATGAATAAATATTTTAAAATTCATTCAGTTGTATAAGAAAGTAAATAACAACAGCACAGCATTATAATGCATCATCATAATATCAGCTTAGAGCTGTAAAAAAGTTTCATTCCTACTAAATGTTTTATATAACTCTCCTTTTATATAAGCTCGAAAAAGAGAATATATATATATCGTGTGCATTTGGTATAAATATTTTCTTGTTATTTTATTAAATAACAAGCAAGCCCCCAAACAAGCAAG